TCGTAAACGTGGCGATAGCAACGGCAGGGGAATATCTTTATTATCTCAACGTAATTTGAGCGTGCGAAACGTTCACGCAGCCTGTATTCGAATTTCAAATATCGATTATCGAGAGATCGCTCGCACTACGTGTTGCCCCTCCATCTTGAAACTCTTGTTCTTTCGCAACTATAAAGCCTATTCTACAATGCACTCTTTGTTTCTTGTTTCTCGCTTTTCACCTCTTGCTTTTTCCCCCTTTGCAACCGTTTTATCGACAATTGTATTTCTTGCTATGTGTTTCCTGTTTCTTCCGCAGTTCGTTAACTTTTATCTTTAATAAAGCTCATTCCCATAATCATGAAGCTTTATTCTACAGTTTTTTTTCTGTTTCCCGTTTTTTGTTATTTTTCGTATCTTTTTGCTTTTCATCAGGTTTTTTTGTATCCGCCCGAGATAAAAGTTAACGAACTTCGGAAGAAGCAGGAAACACGTAGCAAGAAATACAATTGTCAATAAAACAGTTGCAAAGGCGAAAAAAGCAAGAAACAGGAAATAAAGAGCAGAAGATGATCTTAATTAGATGTTTTGGATTGGCAAAACAAATTTACATTTTACTGTGATATCAACAATTTGAAATACGAAAATACCCAGCAAATGATAATGGATTAAAATGGATTAAAATTTTTTTCTATCCGAATGCGTATTTTAAATAGCGAATACTTTTTTTGGGATTTAATTGAATTCAATTGGATCCAATTGGATGCAATTGGATTGAAAAACTGCATTTTTTATTCCAAATTTTGAATTGAATAGTATTTACAATGCACAGAAAAAGCTAACATTATTTTTAGATTGAAAGGCATAAAGATATGCTCCATGCAATTCCTATAAATGAATAAAAATGCATTCAAGATTGAAAAGTATTTATTTTAACATTCGTGAATCAATATTTCTGAAAATCTGAATCCATTTTAATTCATGTCAATCCATTCTCGTTTGCTGGATATGTAATTGTAATGAAAATTAATTAGAAAATTATAGCACAATCATATTAGATGTACCTTCAAATTAAATTCACGCGAAAAACAAAAATTATAACAAATTACTAATATTATTGTATATCAAATTCATGTATATACCCAGTGAGAAATGACAATGAAATCGATGTCGATCGACATCGATTTTATGATTTCAACGTCGAATCGACGTCGATTCCATTATTATTTCTCGCTGGATACTGCATTTATATTTTCGGTATTATTTCCTTTCCATTTTTTATTTGCAAACTACATTTTTAATAAAACTAGAAAGTTTTTGGAGTTATTCTCAATCAGCAATATACTTCAAAGCTTCAAAAATCTAAAAACACTGTTTTTTAGTCAATAAGATTAATAAATTAGAGGTTATGGTTATGTTAAAGGTATCATAAGTGTACGCATTCATACGTATCATATGATCAAACTTCCAGAATGTGTATCAAATCCAATCCTGTTTCTTAATATTTTCTGTCTCTTTCTAAAGCGAGATGCAATGAAAACGCGTAAGTTTATACTCACCGCGTCTATGATTGCTACGATACAAGATTTACCCTGCGACGCGAATCTTTTCAACGTGTCGCAACTGGCGACGCACCGTGACGTTAACCTCTATCTAGTTGCAGCAGGCCATTGTTGTGTGACGCTGGCACATTCTTGACAAAGAAATGTAAAGTTGTACGGTCAATGAACTTGTGCGCGAGAGATTGTACTTCGTAATAGCTCTTCGTTAGGAACGATCGTTAGGTGAGATAATTTTTTGGCTTGATTCTTTGAAAGATTCCTATACAACACTCAACTTGACAGGACTCGCGTACGACACTGTACGACACTTTCGAGTTTCGAGATTACTTGAAGTACGTCGAACGTCACACTGATGTGACACGTGACGTGACCGCATTATTATTTGGCGGGAATTTTTAATTGGTATTCTCCTAACACATGATTTTGTATATTGGATAAAATAAAAATGTTATATATATATATATA